ATTTCATTTTATGTTGCACCCAGAGTTGTTTGTCTTATTTTTAAACGATATCCAAATATTTAAACAAGCAATTTACTGAAAAAGGTAAACATTTAAACTGCAAACAATGAGTGGTTTGACACTTTTAAACTTAAAAAAAACCCCGTAAAATATGAGGCTGATGAACCTTTTTTGCGGTGTAATTCCAGGCCTTTTCTCTAACCACCAACTAATCGATATCTCACCAACTCCAATGCAATATTGATCTAGAGAGGATTTTTATTTAAGGATTTCTGGAAATACCTAATTATTTCGTTGCTTTAAGTGCAAGAAAATATTGTTTCATTTACAGTCGACCTTCTTCGATTTATTACGGTTGCTTAAAATAAGACTGTGCCCTTAATTTTATTCCCTTGGACTTATCGAGTTATTGTTCGTACTAATAAGAGGGTTTATAAGGAGACTGTATCTATTATTTCCTAAAGAAAGAACTAGGAGCCATTTTCCGATGAAAAGTCCACTTTATTCAGAAAAACGTCAACTTTGAGAAAAGTAATACAATTACAATAAAAAGTGGTTTTAGATGTATGTTCGTTGAAGATTATTTTCTGCATATTCTTAACTAAAGAAACTTACTTTTTCTTTTTATATTTTTGGTTGCATTATTGTTGTTTTCTAAATTATTTCCGTTAAGATATTGTCAAAAAGCGTATTTCAGGATAACGGATTATCCAGGTGGTTATGTATTCATTAAATGTATATATATATTTTTCGTTTTACTAAAAGCAATTTAAAATACGTTTAAAAATGTTAAATACATAATACTTTTATAAAGTACAGTTGTATTTTAATTTAGGTTATTCATTGTCTAATGTCGATTTTTAAGACATAAAATATGTGATAATAATTATGTGTAGTGTATTAGGTTGGTATTATTAAGGTTTTTGATTCTCATAAAAAAAGTGAATGTGCATTATTATATTAGGCTAAATGATTGGTCCTGTGTTTATCAACACTATTTTTGTATTAATCGTTGGATTAAAATGATCAAATGTGTAAAAAACCTGACATTCAAGTCGTTGTAAAGAGAAAAATAATGTAACAAATAAAATTGGGTGTAATTTACAGTTGAGTAATGTGAGAATTGAATGAATGCTCTCTTTAACTTTGTATGTGTATATTGTGAAAAACTACCGGGGGACATTATGCATCACAACAAAAGTTGTTTTGGTTGGCCAAGTCTCTACAGGAAACACAGAATCCCACATTAAATTAAGGCTGGCGCTTTTCAAAATGTTGCCATGAAATTCGAAAAATTACAGAGTTCTTAAAAATCACATTATTGGCGTTAAGTTTCCCGATATCCAGTAGTTTTTTAAGCTTTAGAAAGGGCCTGATCACAGGCCACCTACACCCCATTCATCCGGAATGCCATTCATCAAGACAAAATTACCAATTTTCCACAGCAAGCCGTCGGTGGCCTGTTAAACTAGGCCAATGAGCGGTGGTACACTTCGTTTCCTACCCCCTTCATCACTGCTTGCCTAACACTGCTCCACTTAAATCATCAGAGTATAGCCCCAAATCTTAAAAGTCAGAGCCCATTCTTCAAATGTATTGCATTTCAGAGGGTGTTTCTTTTACTGCGGGAGTCTTTAGGCCAGCAGAGTATCAGAGGAGGTGTAATTGAGGGGGCGGTGAGGGGATAGAGTATGCGGTCCGCCTGAAAGCTGCCATTAAAGCCAAATGGACTGAACACCGTAAAACGGCTCTGCCAACAGCTGTCCCACAATCGGAGTCTTATATGCCAGGATCCTCAAGCACGCACACATTAGGGCAAAGCTGCTGATGTAGTGGCTGCTTAAAAGTATTAGACAGCAAAGCCGAGAAAAGAAAATACCATAGAGAAACCACATGTAATATTCGTATTATTTTACAAGGACGCAAACTGATTTGGGTCTCTAAAGGCATTTTCCACCTCTCTACAAGTGTTAGTCTTCTTAATAACCTGGGGAATTGCAATTTTTGCTGGGGGAGCCGATTTGCTTTACATATTTCCACACATTATGGTCGTCCTTTTTCATAAGAGCCCCAAAACAGGTGAGAGGGAGAGGGATGGCAAGACACACTATGTTTCTGCGTGTGCACCCGAGGAAAGAAAGCTCATATCATTCACAGGTTTACACAAGTTACTTTTTGCGCATGGATTTGCCTAAAACGTTTTCATGGCTGATACTTTATTTGTAATGATGTTTCACCACAATTGTGCATACATGATGGTTGATAGCTCGCATATCAAATGATTCCACTCATTAAACTATATATTTGCATGTTTCTATGGAGACTCTTGCACCCCTTAAGAGGCACAACACCCTCCCCCCTACCCCCACTTGGTGCAACACCTGTGCCCAGACGCGCATTTTTAAACAAGTGCTGCACCTTCCTCGCCCTGCACAATAAAGCCCATACACACTCTTTCCTAAATGTGATGTCTGCGGCTCCAATTGTCGTCTCAGTCTGCGAGTCCTTATTAGAATAGAGAAGGAGAGAGGCGATTGAAGAGGAGTTGTTTCCACTGGATTAAATGGTTTCTCTGCAAGTCAATGAATATGTAATGATGTCTAACGAAACCGGCCAGTGAGTTCTGTGCTGCGGTACACAGGCCCTATTAAAGAGCTCTTCTGCTGGGGAAGAACACAGTATAGAGCCGGGAGAGAGAAAAGAGGGGCAGAATAGGGGAAGGGAAGAAGGGATACAATCTTGAATGCACCTCCAAGCTTAAGCCAGACATTCTCCCTCAGTCAATAGATGAAAAAGTATTTGCGCACGTACTGAGAGAGAGAGAGAGAGAGAGAGATATAGTCTTTCTTTGAGCAAGGGTGGGGGGTGAATTTACATTTTTTTAAACTGCTTTTGGAAATATTGTTTCTGATAAGCAGTCATGCCAATAAAGTAATTGAATTGAATTGATAGAGAAGGGGCGAGAGGCAGAGAAAGAGAGTTCCTCCACCATGATTGTTAAAGATATTTCTCCCTTAGTATACCCGATAAAACATTGATTGTTGCAGTTAGTTGACCCGTAACATTTGGGGGTTAGTTTTCTCTTCTGAGCTGAGCATATAATTATGCAAATAGTGATCTGACAGTGATCCGCTGGAGGAGTGCTGAAGAAGAGAGAGTGTGTGTTGTGTGTGTTTGAGGGGGGCTGTCAAAGGGGTGACATTCCAACTTTGCCTAATGCCTGGTTCCTTTGGAAAGAGTTCATCTTCTGCGGGGATGGCGTGCATATCAGAGAGGGCCGGAGCAAGCAAGCGTGACAACAACTCTCTTCAAGTAAAAATTGAAATATCAGGCTGTGTCAGCACAGGGGTTCCCCCAACTTTTTCATGTCAAGGGATCTACCCCACCCACCCACTCCTCCCCAAAATCTGCCATTACAGCAGAGACCCCCCATTTGGCAGAATTTCATCCTAAAGCTCCGCAGCTGATGCTATTTTATGTTCTAGATATGATTCAGTGTGGAGCTGCCTGTAACTGTCTGCACCACAATAGCTGGAAGAGTGAGACATATAATCAAATCAGTCATACATATTATACATTCACACGCTGTGCTAACTTCTAGCGAGTAAAAAGACAGACGCATCAGACTGTTTCTCGGTTCGTGAGGGGATCCCTCCTCGGGAGAGTCCCGGGGACTTTTAGGAATCACCGAGAAGAGCTCAGACTAGCACCGCAGACATGAAGAGATAATCGGTGGCTTTGGAAGTGGGGAGACAGCTACATGTGACAACGTGATGCATGAGTGGTCAATCTGAAAGCAGGGATATTTGGGATAAAAGGGATAGTTTATATTAAGTCAAATGCTATGAAGCAGAACTAGACACTCAAAAACTTTTGCCAAACTTCTATCTAACACGTCTTAGGGCATAACATACTTCCTGACCGAATATTTAATTCATTTAGATTTAGTATTAGTCGTGTGTCTTTGATGAACACTGACTGGAGGTCATAATTTAAAGAAGCCCACTACTACATCATTCCTGTGGACAGAAGGCAGGTTATTTAATTACAACTCCGGAAATTCTCACTTAATAGGCTTCAAGATACTCTTTCTCTATATCACATAATTTATAAATTAGATCGTCTTCAACCAAAAAGGTTTTAAACACATATTTAAGGCAAAACGTTGAGTATTGTGTGTGTGTGTGTGTGTGTGTGATTGAATGCCTCTCTTTAATCAGCGGCCTGACACGGTGTGAGGGGGACTCGCCTGGTTCCACTTGTTGTTCAGGGGTTAATGGAAAAGATTTCTAAAGATTTATTGAGGGGGCGTTTAATGACCTGATCGGTTTCACCGTGTGAAAACAAATGATGCTGTAAAACCTCGCTGAGTTGGAGGGGGGCTCACTTTGCCAAAATTAATGACCAAAAAGAGGGGAATTACTGTTTATAGTTTGTTTTCCTTTTGACACACTTGAGTGACTTATTCAGGCTACACGCTGACGAGAAACGTTTGGAAGATATTGCTTTTTCAAAATAGCCTGACCTATACATGTTTAAAATGTGAAACTATTATCTACTGCTTAACCTAACAGTAAGTGCTATAGTTAACACTGAAATGAAGTGAAATTGGTTATTTGGATTGTTTAGAAACATGACAAAGGATATACTAATGGCCGAGGCAGCAAATGCCTCTCCTTCATTTGAGATGATTTCTCAGGTCATTTTTCACCCGCTGCTCGACTCTCTCGTCCCGCAGCACTGCTTTACACTTTCGGGAGCATCTCTCTGTCTTTCTTCGATGAAATCGTACCTGACTTTCTAGCACTGCTGATTTATTTTTTCAGCACATTCCTAACGTGCAGTGTTCTGCAACGGCATCAGTAATCTACTCCTGCAAGAAAAACAAGAGGGAATAAAGAGCAGCACGAAATACAAATCAATAATAAAGTCATAAAAAAACGTGTGGACAAAATATAAACAGTAGGATGCAAAAGTTACTTTTATTTGCTTTTCCGAGCTTTAATAGCTTAATTAAAAAATGAAATCAACTTTAAAATAATGATTAAAGACTTTTAAAACTAAAATAGTAACAAACAGAACGAGACAAAGATCGGGCAGGACACTTGTGGTCAAAATCCAAAGACTTTTGCGATACAAAAAAAAATGCAGGATTCTTAAACCAACACAACACCTGCAAAACAAGTCTTCAAGAGCAATTGTCAAAATTAGTCCCCCTTTATTTGCACACTGTACTTTGGATTTAGGCTGCTCTTACATCTTTAGTTCCATTCACATATGGCTTGCTCGATATTATTAAAAACAGTGAACAGAGTCTTGTTTATTCCTAAGGCAACAATATACAAATTATGGAGTGAAAATGAACTGATTGTAGCTGAAAAGCAGAAAAGATGAACAATGGTATCTTGAAACGAAACTCATCAAATCAAATAATAAACCAACTTCTTTGCTGAAACCTGGAGAGATCTGAATCACATTAAAAGAAAATTAGGCCTGCAACCATCAGCCACAGTTGTCTCATTACAGCAGGAAGATAATCTACAAAAGCCTTAAACCATACACACAGGAGGGGTAGGATTTCACAGTGTAAAAGTTAAACAATGGGAACTATTCGAAGTAAAGAATGGAATATATATATTTGAGAAAGATGTCTAGGGGTATCATAAGATTTAGTACCAGTTTGAGTTGTAACTAATGTCATGACACATTAGAAATGTATTCCATTAAGCCTTGAGTGGTTTATAAAGCACACCCTTGTGGATCTTTTTTTATTATGTTTGTGTCATTTAGTCAGATTATGCCGCTGAGCAGGGAGCTGACTTTGTCACTTTTAAGTACACAAGAAGAGTACTTTGGTGGGAGGAAAAAGGGGTAAAAAAAAGATATGTTACATTTCTCCAACATCTAAGGAAATATCATTCAGGCTTAGAATAATATTGAAATCTTGGATTTCCTGACACATGTAAGGTGATATATTGAGGCTTTATGAGAGTTTTGAGCTGACTTCTGGCTCCTGTTAAAATGAGATATCCCGCAAACCCATTTTGATGCTTGACTTTAAGTAATTTTAAATATGCTCAGTGTCCTGAATTTTTCATATTCAGCACAGATGTGTTTGTTTTATTTGTTTCATCACATCCAATCATCCGGAGACATCAATTTCAAGGATATCAAATTGAAAAAAAAGGACATATTTATAATAAACACATAGAAACGCACTCTCCACAGCTTCGCAAATCAATCCTAGAGAAATTCTAAAGTAAACACTCACAGCTGAAGTATTGGCTCAATATAAAAAAATGGAATAGTGGGGATGTGTGTATGAGACATTGCATTTAAATTTAGCTCAAAGTTGAAACATTTAAAAAAGATCTCTTATTATAGCGGTGCAATCCCCAACATATATGGCACAGGTTCTAACTAAATTGACACTAAGCTAAAAGGAAGAATAATTGTTTTAAAATCTGACTGCATGTGCAGAGGAGGATTAAAAAAAGTAAAAACACAAAAACCCTTTGTTAAAACAAAATAAATGGTCCCCAGTAAAGAGTATGTGTTCACTCTTTGAAAAAAAACCATTTGTGGCGGGCAAGGGATTTCAAAAAAGAAGATGTCCACTGATCAGCTTGATAATATACCTTATAGCATGAGCTGATGTCAGGGTAAGTAGCCCAGGCTTTAGGACCAGGGGGGGGAGGAGGGAGAGACTGAGCAGTGCAGACTGGAGGGCAGGCGGGGCATTAGCTCAGTTCAGGCTGATGTCAGGACAATTAGAGGTGCACCACAGTGCATTGTGCACAGCACCTGTCAGCCTTAATCTCTGCTGCCATGGCCCGTACCCGCAGCCAGGCCACAGCCCACGGGAAGCGCTAACACTCATGCCCATATTGCTTTGACAGTTGCGCTCATCTAGAAGTAATGCAAAACGTTATTGTGATGTATACATGGTGACCCTGTACTCTTGTCTCTTACAACAACAAGGCTATGTGTTTGCACAGCCAGGGAGGGCTGGAAGGGAGGAATGACACTCAAGGAGAAGGGTGAGGAGAAAAAGATTGGAGGTTACAGACGGAGAGGGGAAGGAAGGAATATCAGAGGATCTGGAACCTTAGCCTCCCTTTCTGCATTCCCCCTCTCTGATCCATTGCCACAAAAACTCCATCTCCTCTCGTTCCAAGTCATTTTTGTCTATCCTCTACAAATCTTGGTGTTTGTATTTAAGGGAGCTGCTACGTGTGGTAACAGTGTTGGAGGTCTCCTCCGCCTCCTCATCCTCTTTCGTCTCTAGGCTTTTATTGAAGAACCTGAAGATGGAGTCGAAACTCATCCAGGAGGTCAGCTCATGCCGCTCTGTGCCTACAAGTAAAAGACACACATAAAGACATACATTAGCATGGTTCACAACATATTTGCTTACTGTGAAGCTGGGGAAAGTGTATGGTAACTATTCTGACATTAATCAATCAATTTAGCTTACACCTATGGAAACACAAAAAGTGAAATTAAGCAGTTACAGATGATATTTCTTAGTCTTGTAAGGCCACCAATCCCACAATGTACTGCATCAAGGCCCAATGCATGAGAGCCTTGACAGCCTATGACCTATTAGTCCAATGGGACAGCCTTTGTATGTTATCCAAGTGGATACCTGATAATCAACGCCACTGCACCTCCCTCTTTCCATCTCAGACCTTCCAACCAAACAAGAGTTATGCACAATAGGGGCACTAAGCGAAACCAGTGAAGCGGCAGTCATTCATTCTTAGGGCTGATTGAGGATAGGCAAGACAGAAGTTGGAGAAGGTAACAAGCAAGCATATCAAGTGCTCTGGCAGTGGTGGGTGGGTGGGTGGGGGGGGCATTGGGGCAGCAGTGCTGGGTTTCCCTCTGACCTCCTCCAGGTTAGCCAGTTCCCAAGTTGGGGTCACTGGAGCCTGAAATCTGGTCCAAGCGCCTCTGGTTGCTGCCCGCCTCGGGGGTTAGGTTATCGCTTGCCAACATTTTAGTTAGTTAGCTTGCAAACTAAATGGCAGTTTCTGTGTTTCTTCTATGCCAGCTAGTCCTGCTACATAAACACCTCGGCTCTGCATCGGAGCGTCCATGATGAGGACAGATCGTGGCTGCAGCTGTTGCACGCCTCGTCTCCTACTCGCTAACCATTCAGCATGAGCGCTAAGAGATAATGGCCTGTTTCTGCCGCCGCCGCTGGCTAGCAGCTTAGCTGCTTAGCAACTTAACTGTAACTGGACTGGAGAAGCCATATTAAGGTGCCCTCTTGTTTCCCAGAGGGAGAATAGGGTTGCCGCAAGATGATATTAAGAGTTTCATCCCTTGATAGATGGATCTAACAAATATGTACATGTGTTTACAGAGAAAGGATGAGTGAATACAAGCCCTGAAGTAATGAGTTTTGAATCCTTATTTGCACACTTAACTATTTTTGTCGCAGGGACTTGCATTTGTTTGTAAGATAAGAACATTAAAATGTGTCCCTACAATTTCCTCGGGAGGATTAAAAACCAGGATAAGCTTAGTATCTGAAATCAGTTAGGGTTGCAGGAAAACAACTGGTCCCAGCAGAAAAGGGTTGAAAACCACAACCCTTGTGGAAGAGTCAAATCAGTAGTAGATTAAAAATACCACTTAACTTCAGCTCCTCTCTTCAGTGCCTTTCTCCTCCATACTCCTGTGTACATGCGATCGGCTATAAAAAGCTAGACTAGAAGGCCGCAGGGATACAATTAGGAAGCACCTTAAAGGCTCTCTCACTATAGACAGGCCTCTGATGACCACTGCACTGACCCCATGTTTATTAGATTGACCCCTGCCTGGGCGCATTAATGGAGATGGCGTGCATGCGCGTGCACGTGTGTGTGTGTGTGTGTGTGTGTGTGTGTGTGTGTGTACGATTGTTGGACTGGGGGTAAGTGTTGGGTCTTAGTGTGTACCTGGGTTTAGTTGGTGTGTTCTGTTTGTGTGAGTGTGTAATTTGTGTGTACTAGTATGTAAGGGGGTTCTCGATCACTCTGAGATAAGGGACTGTGCCGCACGCTATATAGCAAGCAGGCTGCAGTCAGTGCCTTGGGTCAAATTTACTGGCCTGGCAATCATGGAAGTCAATAACCCCGCACTCTCAGTGACTCTGCTACCTGTGTAGGGCTCAACATAACACCCATCCCTGGAAAACAAAGACACAGCCCTCTCACACCTCTAATCTATCATTTATATCCAATTTGAGGTACTGCGATCTTTTTCCGCCTCCTCCTCCTCCATTTCCCCGGTCTCATCGGTCTTTCCCTCACTAGTGTTTTAACTTCTGTTTTGTCCTTTTTTTTTTCTCCCGCAGAAACGATCAATGCCGCAGCGCTCTCTCATTCACCCTGAACTGGTGGTGAACTCCCCCGGAACGCCGCCAGCCTCTCCATCCTATCCCATCGCAGTCCGGGGTCACCAGGGGGGCGTCTCTGTGCCAATATGCAGATGAGCCTGTGCCCCTCCAATGACTCTGGAGTTAAGCTCCACCCCTCTATATGATGGAGCCCCCACCCAACAACACTCACACACATTGAGGCATAAACCCACTCTCACACTGGCTTAAATAGGCCTTTAACAGCTTACGTCCGCTCTTCCTTTAATAGCCAAAGTGTGTCGAACCTAATGGATGTTGTCAAAGCTGAGATGTGACGGCTGATTTAGAGGAGGAACCCCAATGACCAGGCTTCACTAGCCACTAAAGACACAGAGGGAGAGAAAGAGAGGGTGGGGAAAGGGAGAGAGAATTACCTCAGCTATGCCACAAATCATAGTAATATCTTTAAAAGATGTGGGGATCGATGAGGTGTCATCTGGCTGTATCTTGTGTGTGAGTGAACCCATAAACAGCCAATGAGTGCTACAGACCTTTGTCCTCCATTTTAGACGCTTACGGAAAAAGTTTTCCAACCCATAAGCAGTTTTTACTTTCTTTTTTTCTTTTTAAAGGAATTGATTTAATGTATTGTCAAACCAAGTTCTAACGGAAAAAAGAGCAGGTTCCATTTTAATTAGTTGAATTACAATGTTTATCATGTATTAAACGGATCAAACTCTGAAAATAAGAAATACTGTTTATTGATGTGTGCTTTCTTGCATTAACTGTAAATCAATTAAGTTCCATGTGTTAATTGTTTACAAGATCATTGTAATTGCATTAATTTAATAAAGTTTATTGAAAATGCAATTATGCCCCCATTTATTTTAAACGCAATAATGATGTTACTGTGCACTGCATAACATCGGCTATTGTCATGGGAAGCACACAAAATAATTCTCTTTACTTTCACAATGCGTTTGTAATTAGCATTAGGCATTGGCAAGCTTAACAGAGATTATTTCCGCAAGTGGAATGATGACAGCTAAAACGTTGAGGTGAAGCAACACACATACACACACACACACACACACACACACACACACACACACACACACACACACACACACACACACACACACACACACGTATGCACTGTAACATCCCCCAAAACACCAAACAATTCAACACGCTCCCCCCAACACACACACAGTTGTTATCATTTGTGTGCAGTGAGGTAAGGGAACAGAGGAGGAGAGTTTTGAGCTGTAATAAGGGAAACAAGGAAACTCCTCCATAGCTATGGGCCATGCTTTCTTCCCTCCGCACCAAACGCTGCATGCTGTTACAAATGGTAATCGGCTCTGATTGTCACAAATTTCAAAACAAACGCTAGGTGACTGAAAAGCCAAAGTGACGCCCCGAGTGATACTCCGACAGAAAGCCAGAATCAAAGCATGCCGACTATAATTAGGTTCCATCTGGGCTACATTATTTAAAGCCGCACCAGTTAATTGCTTGTGTACAAATGGCCTATTTTATTTGAATCAAACTTTTTTTGTGATTCCTAATTACATTGATGTGAAGGGGCCATATCTCTTTACTTTATTTATAACATAAATACACAGTCAAATTATTAAGAGGACTTTGAAGCAAGGGAAATGTAAAGTGATGATACTTTTCTTTGTGTGAATTGAATTTCCTTAAACAATTATGAGTGCTTAATCAAATATACTGACATTTGGGTTAAACATTTAATAAGCTTCAATTAAAAAAAAGAGATGAACAATGATATCATCAGGAAGCGAAATAAACACAAACAGAATAACTAATAGGACTGACGCACATGGTATTATTGCATGCAGAAGCAAACATTTTCTCATTTCCTCTTGTCAAAGTTTTCATCAAAAATCAAACACTAACAGTGTATTTTCTTATCGATTTCCTATCAGCCGTAACCTAAGCTTTTGTCTCGATGCGAAGGCAGAGCAATGCGTGGGGTGTGGGCCTCGCCTTGCTGTAACCTTAGCCGGGTGCTGTTTGTGGAAACTATCTGTTGCATGGATCAGCGGTGGAGAATCGCTATCTGTATCCTGGTTGTCAGACGATCGGATTTCCGCCCCTGACGCTCTCTGATATTAGATGATCTTCTGTGTTATGTGCGAGCACAGTTGTGTGCAGATACTGTGTGCATACAGTCAGTTATGCATGTTGTGATGTTGCTTCAAGACATGCGTAAAGGTCAAGAATGTCATATTGTCCCACGTGGCTGTCTGTCGAATGTTGCCACTGGAGACGAGGTCAAAGAGTGCCCAGGCAGGTGACAGCCGAGTAGTCACACTGCCAGAGTAACACCGTCCTCTCTAACGAAACATGGAGATGTTTTCCTCACTCAAAAAGCTAATTAAATCTAACCCCCCCCCCTCCAGCACAACCCCTTAATATCCACTCAAGGCGAAGACATCTACGTCAAACCAACAGACAGTGTAATGTAGGATTTGTTTCTGCTACGCTACTCCATGTGTCTTCATTTTTAATAAAATTAACATGGTACTAAGCCTGCACACGTCTACAGGGGCATCACAAAAGAACACAATTAAACAGAAAAAACACTAAAACAGAGCTTGTTTCATCCAGCCAGTAATACCACTCCTGCTTGAACGCAATTCATTTTTAATGCTCATCGGTAAGCGGGGTCTGCTTCCTCCCCCCATCTCACTCGTACTGCTTTTAATTACTTTGGTTATTATTGTGTGTTGTTGTTAGACAAAAACAAGGCAGAACTCATTACACATCCAGAGATGAGGAACCTGAATCACTAGCTACAGGGGCCGCTGAGGGGACTCTATTTACTTAGAATACAAACAGAGGAGAGATATGGAGAAACAAAATTGAGAGAAAGCCCAGAGAGAGGAGAACATCACATTAACTTGTTGAAATCATCATCCAACGTTAGCTATTTTATATTCCATATAATAATTCCAGGAAGAGTAAAACTTTGACAACA